GAATCTTTTGCTCGTTTGTTTTGCGCGACACACAGGCATTCTTGTTGGACAAAGTGCAAGAATTGCAGACATACAAGTCTCATGCCGATAATTTCATATGCTCCCTGGTTCCAGGAACTTCCAATTACCAGGCCCAGTACACACCAGGCAGGCAAACATGTTAATGAACTCCATTGTCTCCATATAAAAAGAAAAAAAAGTGCACTGTATCATGGTATAATTCTGCTTTTTCATTATAAAACTAGATACATATTGGCAGGGGGTCTTCTTTACAAGGAAAGTGAAAGCAACCTACAGTATGTGACCTCCACAGCTTTCCTTTTGATCGCATATGCCAAATACTTGAGCTCTTCAGGGGCAGCAGCTTATTGTGGAAACTCTGCAATCACAACTCAGAAACTAATCTCACTGGCCAAGAGCCAGGTCGATTACATCTTAGGACAAAACCCATCGAAACTCTCGTTTATGGTGGGCTTTGGGAATAGATATCCGCAACATGTTCACCACAGAGGCTCGTCATTGCCATCAGTTCATGCCCACCCTGATTCCATACCATGTAATGACGGTTTCCAATATCTCTACTCGAACATGCCCAATCCCAACATATTGGTTGGTGCTGTTTTGGGTGGACCAGACAACAGAGATGAATTTTCAGACGACAGGAATAACTATCAGCAATCGGAGCCAGCAACTTATATCAATGCCCCTCTTGTTGGTGCACTTGCATTTCTGGCCTCCACATCAGTGCACTGAGAGTTTCCTTTTCGCTACTGGTGGGTTATTTTGTACCGTACTATGATACTAATGCAATATTCAAGGAAAAAAAGTAGTTAGTGACCATCACTGATGCTTAAAGTCTTAGACATTTTAGATTTTATAAGAGTTTGATTTTTATGGGGAAGCCAGAGAATCCTTTCTGCTGCGTTTAGACCCCCTTCTTATTCCGCTACTCAACTTCATGAGCTCGCCAACAATTTCTCTCATAGAGGGCCTTGCATCAGGTAGGGATTGGGTGCAGGACAAAGCTAATTCGAGTAGTTTCACAGCATTTAATTTTTCTTTTTTGCTCCAGTAGAACATCTCAATATCCAAAACAAAGAACGGATCCTCGTTTTCCTGCAACTTCTTCTTCGACCAGGAAACAATATCGAGACCATCTTCAAAACTCGAGTCAACTGGCATTTTTCTACATAAAAGCTCCAGCAAAATTACTCCATAACCATAAACGTCACATTTCTCGGTTAATCGCATGGAATATCCATTTTCTACAATGGAAAAAAAAGAAAATGATGTTAGCAACCAACATAAGGACAAAAAGAATAAAAAAAGGATAAATAAATAATCTAGCAATCAGCTTGTAGATATGGTTAGAACACTACAAACAATCAAGTGACCAATTTCTGATAAAGGGAAGCACATTAAAATCAAAACAAACTCGGAAACCCATAGTCCATTCAGTCATCAATGATGGAAAGATAACGGAGTGAGATCCTCCAGCCAATGGTGGGTCTCATTCGGTGAAGATGACAAAATTGACTCTGGTATCTCCATGGCTCATCTTCTCCATTTGATAAATAAGAATGGAAAATGTTACTATCACCTGGTGCAATGTAACCGATTGTGCCCACAATCGAGGACTTTGAACTAGCAAATGAATCACTTGAACTGATCATTAACTTGGCCATCCCAAAATCTCCAATCTTTGGTTCCAATTCAGAGTCCATCAGGACATTGTTAGACTTGAGGTCCATGTGAATGATCTGTGGTATGCAGTCATGGTGAAGGTAAGCCAAACCCTGGGCGATTCCAACAGCAATACGATGCCGGGCATTCCAATCCAATTCCATAATTGGTTTCTTCTGGTGCAGTAGATCGAATAGCGTCCCTCTAGGCATGTACTCATAAACTATCAACCCAATGCCATTTCTTATACAATGTCCAGCCATTCTCACCAAATTCCGGTGCCTTACTGAACCAAGAGTCTTGATCTCCGTGGTGAAGCTGATTTTTGACATATCCACCTTTTTTACAGCCCAAACTTTTGCTGATGCTGTCTCAACCCTGTATCAACCCTGTAAACACTTCCATGTATGCCTCTTCCAATCAGAAATTTCTCACCCAAATTTTCAGATGCTCTCATTATCTCCTCAAATTTCAGATCATGGGGTAGATCTTCAAGAGCTTCACCATCCATAGTTTGAACTTGCAGATGGGCCCACTGACAATGAATTCGACGAGCCACAACAAAGCAAAATATGAAACAAAAAATTACAACAGAGAGGATAATTCCAAGCGTCAAACCTGCAATTCTTTTCCCCCTCATTCGAGATCTATGATTTTCACCTCTCTCACATTGATTTCCACAGTTAACATACACACAAAGTTCTGGGTTCCCAAGAAAAGAGTGAGGCGATGAGAGAAGAAGGGTTATCCAAGTTGGAGGAAGTTCACCAGAGAGCTTATTGTATGAAATGTTCACTGAGACGAGAGAAAACATGTTGTTTAGCTCGAAAGGGACCTCGCCGGAGATATGATTGTGTGAGATATCCAGAATCTGTAGCTTATCAAGCTTGCCAAGACTTGCTGGGATTCGACCAATGAGCATGTTATTGCTAAGATTCAGAGCAAAAGAAAGATGGTGCAAATTTCCGAGACTTTCAGGAATGGAACCCTGAAGCATGTTGCTTCCAAGTTGTAATTCATAGAGGGTCTCAAGAGAAGAAAGGGACACAGGAATGCTTCCTGTGAGTTTGTTATCCTCGAGACGCAAGCTCTGGAGTTTCACAAGGTTTGTGAAATGGGTTGGAATGACTCCAGTAAGGCTATTCTTACTGAGATCTAGTTTGATCAGCTGTGTTAAGTTACACAACCCAGGTGGCAAAGAACCCATTAAGCTATTTGAAGAGAGCTTCAAAATTTGCAGCCTTTTTAGCATACCAATCTCAGGTGGTATGTTACCATTGAACTGGTTCTCTGACATATCAACCATTGAAAGATTGCTCCATTGTCCAAGAACTGGAGGAATGGAACCTTTCAGCATATTCCCTTTTAGATCAAAGTGGGAAATTCCAGGATTTATTTTGGTTGAATTCAAAGGTAAACTCCCATGTAGAAAATTGTGGCTTAGAATGACCCTATAAAGTGATAAACACTGCACGATTTCAACAGGGAATGTGCCATTGAAACTGTTATACCCAAGGTCCAACACCTCAAGCCTACCAGAAGAGCAGAGACTTGAAGGAATAGGACCCCAGAGAAGGTTCCCTGTTAAGTCCAGTCTACTCAAACTTGCATCTAACCCCAATCGAGAAGGTATCACTCCTATAAGATGGTTATAGGCCAGAGACAAATAAGTCAGGTTTCGAAGATTTGTGATTCCTTCAGGGATAGAACCAGTAAGGCTATTGTTATACAAACCCAACTCTACCAGGCTTCTTGCCCTCCCAATCTCTTGAGGAATTTCTCCCTCGAGATTATTACAAAAGAGATAAAGAATCTCAAGCTTTTCAAGCAAACAAATCCCCTTGGGAATAGACCCTGAAAGAAGGTTATTCTGAAGCCGAAGCTCCACTAAAGAGGTACAATTCCCGAGCTCTGGTGGCAATAAGCCTTCAAGTTTGTTCTCAGAAAGAAACAAATTCTTCAAGCCCTTAAGTTGTCCAAGTGATCGAGGGACTGAACCATCAATATGGTTACCCCATAGAGAAATAAGAGAGAGTCGACTAAGGCTACCCATCCACCATGGAATACTCCCATTCAAATTATTTTGGGAGAGAACAATCTCTGATAAGTTTTCAAGTTGTTTCAGGCTTTCCGGTATCCCCCCAACAAAACCATTTCCACTGAGATCCAGGATTTCAAGGCTCAAAACTGTATCAAAAACATCTGGTATAACCCCATCGAATTTATTATCTGAGGCATAAATATATGTTAAATTGTGACAGTTGCCCAAACTTCTAGGAATAAAGCCAGTGAATTCATTCTGATTTATCATTAACTCAATAAGAGCACAAGGTAGGCCAAAATCAGGGACTTTGCCTATAAATGCGTTTGCCTGAAGATAGGCATACCTCAACTCAGGCAACCTGAAAAGACCCTCTGGTACATGTCCACTAAGATTGTTGCTGTAAAGACCTAAAAACTTGAGAGTAGTGCAAGAAGTTACCTGTATTGGAATGGAACCAGTGAGGTCATTCGTGCCGAGATCGATCTCGGCCAACCCCTTAATTTCAAAAAGCTCAGGGGGGATCGATCCAGAAAATGAGTTATCACTAAGCTCGAGGTCCTCCAAGCTTGAGCAATTACCGAGCTCCCGAGGAATGGTTCCAGTAAAGTTATTGACAGTAAGGGATAGAACAACCAGGCGGTTGAGGTTACAGATCTTTGAAGCAGCAGCTGGGGTTAACATTCCAGAGAGCCCCAAGTTGTCGAGGTTCAGGGATTTCACTGTAAATCCATCTGGGTGGCATGAAACCCCACTCCACTTACACATTGGAGTAGTAAGATTCCATGGCAGGAGCTTCTGAGAAGAAGCAGAGAGTTCACTGCGAAAGGCCAAAAGAGTGTCTCTATCTGATGAAGAAGAGACAGCATAAAGAGAAGAGTGTAGGAGGAAGAAGAAATGAAACAGAAGAGTTGCAGGGGATTTCGCCATGGCTAAATGCTTTGGAGCATTCTCTGTATTCGTTAAAAAAATGGGTTCTTTCCCCTTATTTAATAGGAATTGGTGGCTGAGGAAAAGATGCAAAGTGTCAGCAAACAAAGGGCTCTTTCTCTCTCATCCTTTTAGAGAGAGAAAGAGAGTAGCTTTAAAGCTAAACCCAGATAGAAGACAGGGTTTGTAACCCCATTATCCCTGCAAAAAGCATTGATAAAAAAAGTTGAAGGAAATAATGGTAGTTGAGGGAGTGGGTTGTGGGGTCATTAGTTGCTTCTTACAACATTCCCACGTGAAACATTGTCTGAAAAGAGGGGGTTTCATTTTTAGAAATCACACTCGGGAAGGAAACCTTGACGGTTTAATTCACGGACCACTGTCTGAAATTTGATTAAAAAAACAAAAGAAAAAGGATGCGGTTTGTATAGAGCCGAGGCGCTAACCAATCAAATTAAAGCACACATTCAAATAGTGTCCAGAATAAGGTCTCAAGAAAGTTTGGTGATAACCTTAAATTATATTTTTATCTTTAATTATAAAATTTAAAGCTTAAAAAATAATGTAGATCAAGCATATTTATGAAAACTTAAAAATCTTGAAAATTTTGAAAATTGACGGTCTAAAAATACATTACAAGATGGACTATTTCCAAAATTTGAAATCCATGTTTTTCTAATGTCCATGCTTCTTGACGACCATATGATCAATTTGATAATATTTGGACATCAAAACAACTCCTAGTGAACGTTTTGAGGTAGGCTCTAATTTGATTGTTTAGAGCCTAGGCTCTATGTAAACTTTTGCCAAAGAAAAAAGAGGAGGGGCTTTTCCTTTTCCCATAAGATTTTCAACTCCCTCACCAGTCGATTTACTCCCTCGGGCAAAACCCAATGCTAGGGGGTATTTTTTAGATCTCAAATTTTGGGAATATAATCTCTACAACCTATAAAATAATCTTAACAAAAAAAAATTTCGAAATAGATTGTATTGGGAAAAACCAATACCTAAAGACATAATAGAAACTGTCTAATTTTAGAAGGGCTAGATCTAAATGTCACAAAACTCAAAATTTAAAGTTTTTCTATTAAACATAATGATTTAGTAATTTTGATGTGGTTCCCAAAATTTTAGATAAAAAAAATTATCCTAAATAGGTGTTTTGAGCGAGGGAGTAGATACACAGTAAGCTCATATGGGAGCATAGCATATGCACTCTTTGCTTTTATTGCTAACTCTAACATGTATGTTAATAAATTTAGGAAATGTATACAACAATACTAATTATATTTGGTATGGAGGTCACAATTTTTTACTTGTTGAAAAATTGGGTGGCTATATTTGTTCAATTAACAAGGCCCCGTATTCAAATTTTCAAAACTTTGTAACAAACCCAAGTTGTCGAAGTACATGTGATTATGGCCCCTTTGTACTACAGATAAGTTGTTTTAGAGTAGACAATCCCATAAACTTATGGGGCATTTCTTCACAAGAAACCATTATTCATAAGCCACGGTTTCCATATACTTCCCATGTTTGTTTGCGGAATGCACAACATTGACTTTGAAATCAACATAAAAAAAATAGGGAAACTATCGTACAAAATCCTAATTCTCCATTTTATTTCTCCGTAGACCTTCTTTCCATTTTTCTTTCAAGAGGTAAAAATAAACCCTCAAATATCTCACCTAACCACATCATCTAAAAACTAACCCCAACAAACTATTTTATTCCATCTCAATCCAAAATCCTTTTTAACCCTCTTTTCCCTTGTTTTCATTTCCACTACGGTAATCTCTCTCTCTATACATCAAGGTACTAAGAAACCTTGACTTCAATACGAAGAACATACAAGAAATGCAGAGAAAAAGAGGAAAGATCAAAATTAATAGGGATCAGAGAGACATGAAGTAAAAAATAAGAATACAGATACCAGTGAGAGAGATACAGTGAAAAAGAGAACAATGACCCAAGGGGTAGAGAGAGATCAAAAACAAAAGATTGATGCGGCAACAGCACCGAAACATGAGAGGAATGGAGAAAGAGAGAAAGAGTCAAAGAGAGAGTATCAAACAGTGAGAGCAATGGATGTTTTGAAGGCAGGGGGAGAGAGAGACAGAGATAGAGGAGAGAGAAAGAGATAAAGTTACCATGAGAGGTAAACAGACTTTGTCGAATGGAGAGAGAGAGCCCTTGCCGTAGTAGAGAGAGAGGGATTATCGTAGTGAAAATGAAAATAGGAGAAAGGAGGGTTAAAAAGGATTTTGGATTTAGATAGAATAAAATAATTTGTTGGGGTCCGTTCTTATGGCCAAAAATGAATAAACGGGAGAAATAAGGGATGAGGGGGTTAGGTGAAATATTTGAGGGTTTATTTATACTGCTTGAAAGAAAAATGGAAGGAGGGTCTCTTGTGAAATAAAATGGAGAATTAGGGTTTTGTACGATATTTCCCAAAAAGATATGGATGTGGTTAACATGCAGCCAAGCCCGCACATGTAGAAATGTGGGCTTGGCAATAAATATATTTTTGAGATATAATTTGATTCAAATTTTTAGAGAATATATAATCTTCAACATGGAGATCATGAATATGAAAAAATAAATAAATTTTGAAAACTGTAAATAATAATTATATTAAGAAACATTTGGACCGTTAGTTACAATTGTTTTTAGATGGACCACCTATTTGCATTCATTTTTAAGATGGATAATTTATACCTCTAAACTGCATATTGTACCAATGTGGTCCAGCCCGCAGGAAACAATTATTCAAAAGATATTTTTTGGCAAAGATATTGTTATCCCAAAATCCAGAGACTGCAAAGTGCATGGATGATGGGCTTTTGCAGCCCCTCTTTATGCAAAAAAGCTAGTTCCAAGGGTTTTTGGATCTAAAAATTTGAGATTCAGATATGAACCAAAAAAGGATTTAGAGCTTTTAATTACTTACTTCCAACAATTCAAAAATTGAACAGTCTCTTTTCACTCATAAGATGTTTTTTATTACACATCTACATTGTACATTTGGAATTGTTTTCTTGTCCATTGTTTTACATTGATCATTTGGTTGAAAAGGTCACGTCCCCAAATTTTGTACCCCTAGACTGTTGGGTTTATGTGGCCTTTAAAGGCCTTATGAGTGCTTGTAAAATAAAATGATATAGTGAACTATGAACTCAGTGAGAGTGTGGTCCCTCGTGGACCATACTAAGCAAATGATGTTTGCATATACCTGACTGTGCTTGACGATCTAGGCCAGTCAGTTGGGAAAAACCCATGTTACCTGGGCATAAAGAACAAATTGAAAAGAGTTCTAATGGGTTAGCCCTTGATGAAATCAGAGAATATGTCGGGATGAGTGAGCCGAGGGACTGTGTGACCCTTGTGTGTGATGGTGGCCAACAGAGACAGGGGCCAAAACCTCATCCACGTACCATCACGCGGCATGCATATCGATAGATCGTTCAGGAAAACCAAAAATCTACATTTTAGGATGAAGCGTATGCATATGCGAGATATACTCCTATGCGTCATAGAGCTGTGGTTCCATAAGGTCTTGGTGACCTTGACTTGTTTCTAAAGGAGGACCTGAAATCCACAGATTGGGATTGCGATCCCTTGGTTCATCGGTCGGACTTTGGTGACCCGCTAATGAGCCCTTGCCTGGACTGTGGGTCATAGGAAACACTGGGTCGGTCTGATAAACAAGTGTGATTTGTAGTCCACAGTTGAAGGTGGAGTGCCCCATGATTATTAATTCCTAAACCATATGGATCATTTTCCCATTAAATTAATTTAATTGTGTTTTTTTTATTATGAAATTATTTTAATATTATTATAATTTTTGGATTTATAAAATTAAAAATATTGACTTTACAATTATTTAAATATTCAAATAATATTCTAAAATCCTCTTATTAATTTTAAATATATAAAAATATCATGGGGGCCCATTGTGCACATGGACCTGCCATATTTTTTTAGAAGGTGGGGCCCATGAGTGCCTCCCTTAGGTGGCACGCCCCACCCTTGTTCTATTTCCTATTTTTTGGTGATATGGTATGTGGCCGTATGGTTGGAAGATATTGACTTGATATATCTTTGAAATATTTTGTGAAAAGATTGAGTAGACTTATATTATTTTATGGTATGCACAATATTTTGATTAGATTTAATTTATTTAATTTTTATTGATGGGAAAATGGTTTAGAAATGGGGGATAATGATTTATACGCCTTCCATAATGTTGATGGCCCATCTATGGAATAGATGGCTCAGATCTCTCACCCCATAAGTCATGCTTGATCGACAGTCTATGTTCAATCTCACAAGAAGAGGCAAGCCAAAGAAAACCCTAAAAACCCTAATCTTATTCAAAGCTTATAAAAAGATATTGTCTCTATCAAAAAAAAATATCTACACATTATCTTTCTATCTCTCTCTCTTAAGAAAGTTTGTCTCTCTCATGTTTGATCTCTCTCTCTTAAGAAAGTTTATCTCTCTCATGTTTGATATCTCTCTCCTACATTGTGAAAGAACCTAAGGGTTTAGGTTATGAAGTTATTCTCTCCTATCTCTCAAATATAGATTTATGGCTAAGGGTTTTAGGGTTTCGCAAAAAGAGAATTCCTCTCTCTCAAACTAGATTGCTAAGAGAATTCACCTAGGTTTTGTATTTGTGATCAAAGGGGTTCATGTTTCATTGGTGTGGCTTGGCAAAAATTTGCTTCTTCGGTTCGAGATTGAAGCTAGACCATTGATCTCCCGTCATCAGATGGTGACGACTCGGTGTGGGGTGTAATAAGCCCAGTTGAAGTAATCTCCAGTACTCTTTCTTTTGTTTCTTGAAATCTTATCTTTTATTTTCAAGCATGGTGCATAGTTGTTTCAATGGCATCAAGTTGTTAAGATCTTGGTTTTATTGTTATGTTGATTTTATTTTGAAATTTATATTATTATAATAAAACCACCTGTAAGTGATCTTTTGCCAAAAGAAAAGGGTGAAAAAAAAAAATAAAAAATAAAAAAAAAAAATAAAAATAAAAAAAAAAAAAATAAATATATATATATATATATATATTCCCCGGTAAAGATCACATAGGTCTTTTTTTCATAGACTACATTCTAACCACTATAGTGAGGAAAAAATGCTTCCACAAGAGCATAGAACCTTTCGACTTTTGAGGTCAAAAAAGTCTAAACATACCGTACTGCACCATTAGGTAACATCTTGAA